TTATTAGAAAAACACTCCTGTATGATCCAGAAATTATTAGGTATTGGTGTTAAGTTTAGGTAGGTACGTAGGTAGGTAGGTAGTCTTTCTGAAAATGAGGTTGTGCTGTTGGCTGGAATTCTTATAATTATTAATAACAAGTACTTTTAAAAGTACTACTTTGATGAAAGAGAGGAGGGAGGAGAGATAAGAGGAGCAGTACTTTTAAACTCACAGTCCCACTAAATAAAGATTCCAGAAAACAAATGAAAACCAGAAAGATGGCAAGGCAATCAGTCTGAAGCACCTTTGCCTAGAGTCAGGACGCAACTGAGCAATGGAGGCGCTCGCTCCATTAAACAGACACAGCTTATGTAAGACATGTCATGACTGTTTCTTCTATTCTGATTGGCCCAACAGACAGGGAAACCCCATGCAAGCATGCAGCAGTACTCTCCGCATGCTGTGCAATCCTGAATAGATCATAAGGTAGCCGCGACTGGCAGCTATGTGTTCCAGCTCTGAGAAAAAAAACATGACAGCAGAGCCCATGCCATTACGGGAAATGGCCAAACGAATCAATGCAGAAGTGTACTATTTAGTACTTGGATGAGAGACAACCAAGGAGTACCAGGAGCTGTAAGCAATATTTCAGAGAAGAACTGGCAAAATTACCTGAGTATTCCTTGCCTAAGAAATCTCTATGAAATCCACGAGACTCAAAGGCACACATACACATCATAGAATATAAAAACCAAAGATTTGGGACAGTTCATATATAGAACTATTCAGACATTTAAAAAAAAATTAGAGTTAAGCTAAAAATGGAAGAACACTAGTAGTCCTTACATGTTTAGATTCTACTTCACAAAACAAATTCCACAAATAGAGCTTCTGATTCAACGCACCTACTAATAACAAAATACTAAATTACTCTGCAATGTATTTTTACTCAACAGTAATCAAAACTTTCAGAAGTTACATTGATTTACTGGATTATACTCAAGGACTTGAATTACAGATACTGCGAGGGAAAAGGAAAACAAGACACATTTGTATCCAGAGAAGTTGGAGAAAATAATTAATTATATTTTATACTAATAAAATGAATGGACACTTTAAAAAATGCAATAATGCAAAAAGTATGTATTTATTTCCCAAACAACTTCCTCATTGCATCTTTCTTCAGACTAAACATGGTTACAGAGTTTTTAAAAAAATCACTATCAACTATTTCAAAACTGAAAGCAAGCCCCCCAACAACACCCAACTTTTAAAAGTAAGTCATTTAAGTAGTAATCTATACAAAGCAGCTATTGCAAAACATCTGTTTGTTCATGAGAAAGTTGCACTCATGACACTGATGGGTTAGAATGAAAAGATACAAGTTTTTACAGAAAAGTCATATTAATTTTAGAAGCAAAAATAGTAATTTCAAATGTCATTAGTTTGGGTTAAAAGTTTCTTTAACCCATGCAGAACTTGATAAACTGATAACATCTGAGGTAAAAATTGGTTGTTAGAAATTCTTTTGATTAATCATTATGGAATGAAGAGGAGCTATATAGTCCTCTTCGGCATTGAGGTAGAGGGGGCAAAAATGCAGCAAATAAATAAATAATTATGCCAACAGGCATGAGAAAATGGGAGAATCTGTGTACTATCTTCTGTTGCCATGAGGAACAAAACACTGTACTGGATGGCCTTGGGTGCAAGTATTTGGGAAAAGGGAGCCATTATTAGAAGTGTGCACAGATTTCACAGCTGCTTGAGCTACACTAAAAGCTGGAATGCTGCTTGTGGGTGTAATTAACAAATCATTTTTGTTAACAGTAATAAAAACCTGATCAGTTCAGATAGTCCTATATGCTGCATACAACAAAACAGATAAGAGGGAGTATATAACCACAGATACACAGAGTCACCAACAGATCATGTAACTTACTGGAACAATGACAAAACATCAAGGAATGTATTTTGAGAGATACATTACAACATTATAGGGATTGATGACACAGAAGAGAAAGCATCATGAATACAAATCTGAGCTTCAACAGAATTTTGTGCACACTGTTTGTCTCCTGTCAGAATCCATTATAAGACATTTAATACTATTCTTATTCTGTTGCCCAACATTGAACATTTTGACAGTTTATATTTTATCATTTATACATTAAACATACATGCAAAGTGACTGCTTCACCACTGGATAGATCAATAAAATCATGCTTGCTATTCTAATGAACTGTCAGTATCAACTGCCAATATTTTTAAACTATCAAATATATTAACAATGAAAATAGTTAATTTTCCCTTTTCAAAATGCAACCATGCTGAGTACCACAATTTTGCTATAATAATAAGTGTTGCAGCATTCTTAAACTGAAGAACACAGAGACTGTGACCATATGCATAACTATTTAGAGATAAATTCTAGTGAAATCAATTAAATATATGTTTATGCCAACAAGCAAATAATGTTTAAAGTACTGGATTTGGAACAGTGAAACTCAAGCCCAAATCCCCGTTTACACATAAAATTATTTCATATGACCTTAGGTTATCACTATCCTCAAATCAAACCTATATTTCAGGCTTCTTTAGCCAATTAATATTAAGACAGAAACAATGTAAAGTGATAATGTTGTGGTAAATCATCATCATCCCATCATACTCTATCTATGACAGAATATATGTGTTTCTAAAAATACCATGATACACAAACTTTTCATATAGGATCTCATCATACTAGAGAATAAATCCACTTTAAATCTGGATGCTGCCTCCTGCAGAATTCTGATTTTGTAGTTAAGGGAAGAACCTTTAACAGCCTCATTAAACTACAAACCCCAGAATTCTGCAGGGGGCAGAAACCGGATTTAAAGTGGATTCATTCTCTAATGTGATGAAGTGCATAGTCACATCCACCAAATTCATTATTTTCATAAGATAATATAAGATAATATGCAACAAGCCGACAACAACATAGTCTTTCAGAAAACAAAGTAGAATATCAAATATAAGGATAACTATGCCCACCAAATTTACCAGCCACCCAAGACTAGTAGGAAACATTATACAACAAGCTCCAGAAATTTGACAGGAGCCATATTCTTATACCATTCCAAGTATTCCGGAAAGTGGCCTGGAACTTTCCTGATAGCTATGCTCACAGACTTTATTAGCCTGCCATGAATAGACATCAGTGGTGCAAGATACAAAAATCTTCTAGAAACCACTTTCTTGCATCTGTTCCCACAAAACATCTGTGTTTCAAAATGCTCTGGGATATCAACTTTACAGGGAGCTACACCCACCAGGCTTGCTGTAACAGAAGAAGTTTCCATGCCTACAACAGACAGTGAGGCCCCTTCTACACTGTCATGTAAAATCCAGATTATCTGCTTTGAACTGGAATATGTGACAGTGTAGACTCAGATAATCCACTTCAAAGCAGATTATGTGGATTATCTGCTTTGATAATCTAGATTGTATGGCAGTGTAGTAGGGGCCTGAGATAAAAGAGCTATGAAAATATCCCTCCATATTGTCTCAGTCCCAGTCAGGAACCCAAGCCATGATGTTAAAAAAAATGTACCTGTTCCAACTTACAAACCTACAGAACCTGCCTGTACATGCAGTCCCCAAGTTATGAACAAGATAGGTTCTGTAGGTTGTTCTTAAGCTGAATTTGTTTGTAAGTCAGAACAGGTATATTTTTAAGTGTAACACCATCCAAGTACATATGTATATATTAGCTCTGGATAGCATAGGGTAAAGTTAACACCCCTGTGGTATTTGTTTTGCTATCTGTGTCCCTGTTCAGAAGATTTCATCTCACTTTCTGTTTCTGTGATAATTGGATTTTGAAAAAATTGGCTTTGTTGTGGGAACAAGGATGCTCCAGTGGAGATATCTTTTCCGCATGATAACGCTTTCAGGGGTGAATTTCCTTTTTGAGTGGTAGTTTTCTCTCACTACCTGTTGCCTCATTTCCATTCTTAAATATGGGCCATTTGTCAGATGTTTGTAACTCAGGGACTGCCTGCATACTGTAGAATCGCCTAGAGGAATTAGCAATTTCTAGACCCCATCCCCCAGCATGAATAACTGAAACTAGATATGGATTCTGTGCTTACGGGGCTCTTACTGTATATATTTTTGATATGAGCTTTCTTGAATATACACAGTACTCTAAATATGGCTCAATCATAGATAAGGAGATAAGAACTGTAGTAGATTTATTTTCAATCACCTTCCTAAGAATTTCTATGATCTAATTTGCATTTTTCACTGTTTCTGTCTTGACCTGAAGATTTTATTAAATTTCCTCTGAACTATTTGCTTCAATATATTGGGCCCAGGCAAGTACAATCAAAACTTTATAGAAAGATGGATGGACCATTAAGTCTTAAAGTGAGAAGCAATAATTTATTTATTCAATAGGTCTGTTAAGGTACAATAAAGATAATAAAAATTCGCCACAGCAGCACTTTACAAAGGCTAGCACATATACATATTAAACTGGACATTAAAAGGATCTCTCTCAATGAAGACCTACTAGTGGCTAATGTATGGAGAATATAAACACATAAACCTATGAAAGATTTACCCATTACTCAGAGAAAGAAATTCAGTATTATACAAATATCATCAAGATATTTCATTACATTCAATGTTTATTTTACTTCAGCAAAACTCTGCAGCTTTAGACATATACTACTTTGTTTAAAAGAAAAAGAGATATTATTTGGTATAAAATGTTTGATACTTTAATTTCCCAAAGCCATCTCAGCTTAATAATATTACTATTTCTGTTGATGATTCAGGCAAATATTATTAAGCATTTCCAATTATTTTTCATGTAACAGTCAATTTTGTCAAACTAAATACAGAGCATTACTGAAGGTAAGAGTTTTTAAATACTAAGGAAGATATTTTAGACATGCTAACAAAAACAATAAGATCTTGAAGATATGACATCCTATGCAAGAACAGCAAAAACACAAGACTTTTTTTACCTTCCGTACTTAATCCTGGACTTGAAGTGAATTTTGCTACATCGACAATCTTTACAGCAAACTGTTGCCCAGTCTCTCTGTTGATGCATCGTCGTACAACACTGAATGGACCCCTAGAAAGAAAGATGCCATTCCATTAATTGATTTAGAACTCCAACATATCTCTTTCTTCTTCAAATAAAACTTTTATTATTTTTCATTTGAAAACGCCATTGTATATTTATTTATTTGATTTATAATGGAGCTCAGGTATCTGTTGGATTTGGATCCAGGACACCCCATGCATACCAAAATTTGTGCCTAGTCACATTATATACAATGGTAAAGTAAAATGGCAAAATGAAAGCATCCCCTGAAAGTTACATTAGCACCTCTGAGGGCCCTTCCACACAGTCCTATATCCCAGAATATCAAGGCAGAAAATCCCACAATATCTGCTTGGAACTGGTTTATCTGAGTCCACACTCAGATAATGTGGGATTTTCTGCCTTGATATTCTGGGATATAGAGCTGTGTGGAAGGGCCCTGAGTAATATCCCTGGATCTGCAAACCATCTTGTCTTGGCTAAACTGCATGTTCACGACACAGTGTTCAGGAGAAGACTGAAGAAGGACCACATACATAGGACCACATACAAGAGGAAACCACTGTTCTCTAAAACAGAACATTGATGCCCATTTGAAGTTTGTTAAAAAAACACAAAGACTAGCCAGCTGAAATACTATTCGGTAGGTAGACTAATAAAATCCACACATTTTTTACCTCAGCAAGAAAAGCTGACGGGCAAAAAAAACTTTGTTGAATATGAATAAAAGAATCTTATCTTAAGCATTAAGCACGATGGGAAAAGAGATGGATTGAGTCTGCTTTACTGCCCCAGGACCCAAACAATTTGCCATCATTGACACAGCAATGAATTCTGCCGTATATTTCACAACATTTTAGAGGACGTTAGGCTATAGCTCTGATAAATGAATCTACAATGAAAGCCGCAACTTGAAAATATTCCTAAAAATATACAAGTATATAAAAATAAACATGAAGGAAAAAAGTATGAGTTTCAGAATGGTCTAATCAAAGTCCAGACGCAAAATGCATTAAGGTAATGTGGCATGATGTGCAACAAACTCTTTATGCAAGGAAGCCTTCAAATGTTATTGAATTGAATTGGTTCTGCAAAGAGGTATGAGACTTGCAAACATTTAATTGAAGTAGTTACTACTCAAGGGGCTGCCATCAATTAATCCAAATATTCATGTACATCTTAATGGAAATAAATATCAGAAATTAATAAACAGAATATATAACATGTGTGGATAATATGCTAAATTGGATTTCTTACTACTGTATTTAGATTATTTATATATTTCAATTAATTTACTTTAAAGAAAACAGAGAAGACTATAGCATGGCTGAAAGAGGCACAAGTATGAGGTCTTATATCAAGATATCAATGTGTAACCAAAGTAGATGGCTGGGAGTGTACAAATGTTATGAGCAGTTCAGGACCTGGTACCCCACATAACAAATTAGTAGAAGCAACTATTGCTTCATAGAATGGCCACAACCACTCAGTTTGATAGCATCCACCAAGTAAAGCAAGATGTTGTTGTACATAAGACACCTTGAAGACTGATATTATAACATTATTTATTAAAATCAATTATAGTAACATTACATGCAGACCATTACACACAGAAAACTAAGATAACAAAGGATAACATGAAAATACAATTATGAATAAAGTTAAAAAAATTAATGAGAAGGATAAAGATTTATTAATGTTCAGCTCTGTTTTGTCTTTAAACACTTACTGTCATGCAATTAAGAAATTATCTAATTATATTTCATGCATGTCATCTATTTATGGTATCGTATGGTAAACAAGCCCCAACAATATGCAACAGGCTTCCCTGCCAAAACCTGCTTAAGACCTATTGGTGGACTTGACTTGACTGCTGATTGTTATAAATTGCATTTTGTGTGTTCATTTAGAAAATAAAGTAATCATTACGACTTTTAATTTCATAATAGATTTAAAAAGTACAGCTTTTCTCTAAATGTCTTTTCTTTTTGTTTTATGCTTCAAGCAGCCCCTCATTTTTATTCAATGCCTCTGAATTGCACCCCAAGCTACTACAACCTCCCTGAATCATTCTAAACCCCCAGGGGGCAATATCAGCCACTTTGGGAAACAGTGCTTTAGAAGTAATATAACCTGCCAAAATTCAAACCTGAAAAGGCCAGAAATACGCTCCTTGTTTTTTGTTAAGTATTTTATGTTAAACAATGGTGGGGAGAATTCACCCACTGAAAACCAGGATTTGGACCAGAAGGATGTATATTTTTAACTTCCATCCATAAACACTTTGCCAATTATCTATATTTTGATGGTGATAGAGGAGTAGCCCCTCTCACCATAGGATCAGGAAAGGAAATGGAAATTCAGGCATAGATTAATCTGATTTGTAGTCATAAATAGACAATTCGGATTGGACAGTTGGGGTTGGACTTCCAGCAGATATAATATTACTGGTGATGAAGGAGGAAGAATAATGAAAGAAGACCACTGATAAAAAAGGAGGCAGTTTATTCATAGAAGGAAAACAGATACGACTGTTGCTGTTGGCAATATATGTTGGCAATGATGTGGAGAATGATGTAAATACTGCAGATGGAAGAGAAGCAGAACATGACATGGTATTAATACCAAGAAAGTTTCTAGAGCAGATGATTAAACAGTGAGATAATGGACTAGAGAGCATGCTTATTCGATGTATAAATGACACCAAATTAGGAAGGGTAATTAATATGCAAGATGACAGGATGAGAACTCAAAATTACTGTAACAGATTGGAGAGCTGGACCAAAATTGACAAAATGAATTTCTACAGGGAGAAATTAAGGTACTACACTGAAAAAACAAAATGTGTAGGTACAGGACGGGTGACACCTGGCTTGACAATAGCACATGTGAAAGGGATCTAGGAGTCTTAGTAGAACACAAGCTGAATATAAGTCAACAGTGTGATGTGGCAACTAAAAAAGCTAATGTGATTCTAGGCTGTATCAATAGTACTGTGTCTAGATCCAAGTAATAGTACCACTTAATTCTGCTTTGATAAGACCACATCCTGTATCCAGTTCTGGGCACCACAATTTAAGAAAGATATTGACATGCCTTGAATATGTCCATGGAGAGTAACCAAAATGGTAGAAGGCTGGAAACAATAGCCTATGAGAAGTTGCTTAGGGAGCTGGGAATGTTTTGGTTGAAGGAAAAAAAAAAGGTTAAGACATGATAGCCATGTTTTAACCTTTAAATATTTGAAAGGATGTCACATTGAAGATGGATCAGCCTTGTTTTTTATGGCCCTAGACACTAGGACACACAGCAATAGATCCCAACTACAGGAAGATATTCCACCTAAACATTAGGAAGTATTTCATGATGGCAAGAGCTATTTGGCAGTATAACACATTGCCTTGTATTATGGTGGAGTCTCCATTTTTAAACAGAGTCTGATGGCCATCTGTCAGGAGTGCTTAGACTCTATATTCCCACATGGCAGGGGATCCTGTGGTCCCCAAATCTATGATTCTATGCTGTGTTCAGAAATAAGTCTGTCATATGAAAAAGTTAACAACAGAATCTGAAGTAGAGCACAAATTGTAAAAGTACGCCAAGACCAAGGGAATGCTATTAATGAGGAGAAAGAAGCCAAAAGTGATCATCACAGCAATTAGGTGATTTATAAACAAATCCAAGTTAGATCTGACAGCTTCTTCTTATATGCGGGAGTAGGGGAACCTGTTCTATAGGAGCAATCTTATTGTAGGAACATCTAATAAACTTAGTACAAAGTGAGATTAAGATGTTGCTTCTCGTCCAACATGATGAATTACAAACAGAAGTTGTAGACCAGGCATGGGCGAAGTTTGGCCCTTCAGCTGTTTTGAACTTCAACTCCCAGAAATCCCATCTAGTTTACTGGCTGTTAGGAATTGTGGGAGTTGAAGTCCAAAACACATGGAAGGCTGAAGTTTGCCCATGCCTGTTTTAGACTTATGTCTCCCACTCTTTGAATATAAACCAAGGCAATTTTATCCAAAGATTTTTCATCAGTTACCATGTCAAACTCAGTCTTGGAGACAAAGTGAAATCAAAAGTAGAGAAGATATTGGTATTGCTGCAAATGTAATAACAAGTGGACTGCTGTTCATCACTACATGGCTGGTTTGAGATGGTTTTAACAATTTTGATTTTCAAGTGGATACAACTGATGTTTGTGTATATTTATAGTTTGTTTTATTCTGGCATTGAATGTTTGCCGTTTATATGCTGTGCTCCGCCCTGAGTCCCCTTTGGGGTGAGAAGGGAGGAATATAAATGCTTTAAATACATACATACATACATGCAAAATGGGCTTCTGGTACACAATACAATATGGAGGGGAGAAAGGACCTCACATTAGGGGAGAAAGGACCTCACCAGAGACTATTCTATAAAGGTAACAGGCATATGTCCCATGATATCGGATATCTGAAAATCCATCTAACACTCTTTCTTTTTCTTGATAGGAAAATAATATCACTTCAGACTGTTCTTTCCATTAAGCTTGGGAGAAAATGTATTGCCCAATGTAGGAGTTGGATCTGAAGTAGAGGGCAGCCCTCGTAAAGGACACCAAGGTTGCCTAATCAGAAAATTAAACATGGCAATTAAAACTGAAGCAATCGGTACAAAGCGAGAAGCCGTAGCCATAGTAATCAGTGTCAAAGCTAGTGGCTTCAGTAATGAACTATGAGCCAATTTGTCAAAGGTTTTCAATATCAAGAGAGCCTTACCTGTCAAAGAGGAGGAAATCTGAAGAGGGTGTTTCTTGGCTGAGTGACTGGGCATTTTAGTGGTATTTGCCAAGAAACCAATGTCCCTGTCTCGACAAGCCTAGGCAGTCAGAGCAGACTTCACTTTATGTCAGTAATTGTGATAGAAGAGACACTTAGAAAGACCTTCAGATTGTGCTATTATCCCTTCATAAGAGATTAATAGTATAAAGAGCACCACAGAATCAGAGTTAACCAAGAGAATTGCTGTGGAAAATCTACTTG